TAGACAGGGAGGTCAGGAGGCGGTGGGGGAGACACCGGCGCGCGGTCCGGGGAGGGAAGGCCGAGCAGGCGGAGAGCGGAAACCGGCGGCGACGGCTGCTGTGGCGGCGACGACGGCTGGGCCGGAACTCTGGGACCAGCAGAGGCAGAACGACCGTCGGCAGAACACTCAACAGCAGCACCCCCAGAACCAACACCCCAAGAGCGAGAACCCCCTCCAACACCAGCGGCACCCCCAGAAGCCGCAGGACGAACACCCTCCTCCACACCAGCACCCCCAGGGGCCGAGAGCAACGGCGGCAGTGGCGGCGACAGCGGCGACGGCTGCGGCGGCGACGGCGACGGCGGCGGCAGCGGGGTCGGCGACTGCGACAGTGGGGGCGGAGGCACTGGGGAAGGGGGACGCGGCAAGGACGGACCGGGGGTACCACCAGAGTCAGCAGACTCCTCAACGGGGACAACCGACGGGAGGGGAGTGACGTGGGAGACACCAGACGGGGCAGGACGAGGCGGGAGAGGGGCAGGGGCTACCGGGGGAGAGGGAGCAAGGAAAAGGGGGGGGGCAACTGGGAGACCTCGGTGAGGGAAGCGGCGGTAGAAGGAGACGGACTCGTCAAAGGTGACGTCACGAGAGTGGAGGAAGCGGTGAGACGGCGGGTGGTAGAAAAGCCAGTCAGACGAGTCCAGGGGGAAACCGAGGAAGACACAGGGGACAGTGCGGGCAGTGAGCTTGTCCGTGCCAGAGGCACGAACGTGAGCAAGGCAGCCCCAGACGTGGAACGCAGACGCGTCACCGGGGGACCCGGTCCAAAGGAGGGTCGGCGAAACCTGCGGCCGCTGGGAGCGTGGCCACAGGTTAAGCTGGTGAGCCGCGTAGCGAACAGCGAACGGCCACAGAAAATGGGGGGCATCGGCATGGATCATGGAGGTACGGGCGACCTCCATGACCAAGCCGATGCGGCGCTCAGCAACCCCATTCTGCTGTGGCGAGTCCGGCAACGTGTACGACTGGGTGATGCCCTCCGCACGACAGAACTGTCCAAGCCGACCAGAGGCGAACTCGCCGCCACGGTCGGAGTGGAGACACAACACGGGGAGACCGCGGTGGAGACGCGCAGCTACAACCCACGGGAGAAGAACGTCGGGCACGTCGGCCTTCCGCTCCAGGGGAAACACCGTGGTGTAGCGCGTGTAGTCGTCAACGAGCACAAGGAAGTAGCGCTCACCGCGCGGTCCGGGGACGGGGGCAGGGCCCCAAACGTCCAAGTGCAGGGTCTGAAGGGGGGCAGTAGCAGGACGCAGCGAGGAGGAGTGAGGAGCACGGCGGAGCCGACCCTCGACGCAAGGCGTGCACGGTGGCGCAGTCGAGGGAGGAAGGGCAGGGAGCGACGCGGGGAGACCTAAGACAAGACCGTGCTGGGACATGTGACGCAGACGCGGGAGAGCAGGGTGACCTAAGCGGTGGTGCCAGAGAAGGGAGGGGTGAGTGAGGGACCGACACGAGCAAGCTGCAGCGACCTGGGAGGACGCACCAACCGGGGGGGAAGCGGTGTGTAGGGTAAACAGACCGGACACCGGGTCCCGGGGGAACGTCGCAAGGGGGGAACCGGAGACAGCCTCAGAACAGACAGCGAACCGCTCGTGCCCGGGGAACGTGGTGGTGACGCCGAGGTCCTGGAGACAGCCGACACCAACCAGGTTCCTGGAGAACGAGGGAACGTGGAGGCCAGTAAGGGAGCCCGAGGGAACTGCCGGACAGGGAAGGGACGTAGAACTGCGCGCGACGACCGAACCCGCAGAGGGGTCAGCGAGAGAGACAACAGCAGGTGCAGCAAGCGGCGTGAGCGTGGAACGGTCGCGGAAGAAGCAGGCAGAAGCACCAGAGTCAAGAGTGAAGGACAGCGACGCAGTGGCGGAGGCCGCGGACGGAGCCGGTGCAGCGACTAGACTAGGCAACCTAGGCAGTCCTACGCCTGTCGCAGCAGGGGAAGCTAAGCTACACAAGGGTGAAACACCTAAACTAGAGTACACATGGTAGTAAGATCCATCAACACTAGAAGCGTCAGCATACAAAGCATGCAAAGCAGCACCTATCTGATCCATGTCTAACTCAAAGATCGGCACGCCCTGGCGGAGCAGGCTGTGCCAGTCAGGGAGGTCCGGGGCCGGGCCAAAGCGACGACGAAAAAGACCGTCGAGGCGGCGGAAACAGTGGGCGGTCGGGTGCGGGCGGCGGCACAGAGTGCCGCGGAGAGGCCCGGTCTGAAGCTGGTACTGGCAGGTCACAGCACTGGAGCCGCTGGTAGACGCCAAGCTGCGCGGGCCGCCACCACGGCCACCGCCTCCGGAGGTGCCGGGCCAACCAGGCGGGAGACGAGCCCACGGCTGCGGCGGGTGCTGCTGGGACGGCGGCTGCGGCTGGGGCTGGTCCTGCTGCTGCTGGGACTGCTGCTCCTGCCCACCGGTGGTAGTCCCCTCAGGCGGACTACCGTCACCACCACCACGACCACTACCACCTGCGTCACCACCCCTACCTCCCTGGCGGCCACGGCCACCGCGACGCGAGCGCTGCTGCGGGTGGACAGCAGCAGCCGTCTCGGTAAGAGGGGTCGCCGTGGCGACCGCAGCCGAAACGTCAGTGAACGTGCACGGGGATGGGGCACAACCGTGAAAGATAGAGACTGCCGGCGCACCGCTCGACTGAGCGATAGTGCGCTGGCGAGTCTCGATCTCAGTGAGGGTGTCGACAAAGGCGGTCAGGGTGAGGTCACCCGGGTGCTGGCTAAGAAAGTGGTCGCGAGCACTAGCGAGGCGGTCTGGCAGGCGCATAGCGATAAAATAGAGCGTCATGCAGAAAGGAGGGGGGAGCGCAGTGAGCTGGGCAGCAGTGCTGGCAGTGCGATAGCGAGTCTCTAGGGCACGCAAATGAGTGGCAAAATCTGCGACAGTAGGGAAGGCAGCCAGGTCTGGGAACAGCATCGGAAAGAGCAAGCGGCCAGCAGAAGCGGAGGCAGGGGTGGAATAGCGAGCAATAACGGCGTCTAAATAAGCTTTGGCCGTTTCAACAGTAGCAAAACGCGAGCGCTCATACACAGGGAGGGCGTGACTAATAGCAACCTGAGCTACTGCATCGCGTGAGTCCCAGACCGCACAGGCTAGCGCAGCAGTAGAGAAAGCCTCACGGTCATCAGAGGAGGGGTCAGCAGGGAGGGGAGTAGGTGCAGGGGGACGGGGGAGCAAGCCATCAGCATGGACAACCAGAGAGTGGCCATCCTGGCGCTGACCTGTAAGCTGGCGGCGAAGATCGGAGAGCCAGGCGGCGAAGTCAACCGCGTGGCCCTCAGCGTCCAGGCGGAGCACAAAGTCAGCCATCGTGCAGGGTCAGCGGCACAGCTCCTCAGCGACACAGCGGCACAGCAGCACAGCTCCTCAGCGGCACAGGAGCACAGCGGCGCGGGGACACGGCGGCAGCACTCTCCAGTAGGGCAGCAGCTAGGCGTCCCAGCGCAGGCAAGCAGAAGACACAGGGCCCGAGAGGACACGGCAGGCCGAGCAGGGGAGGCGGGCAGGTGCTCTAGGGCCGGGCTGGTGCTGGGAGGGGCCAGGCTGGTGCTGCTGGGGCCGGTCGGGCACGAGGAGGGGCCGGGCAGTGCTGAGGAGAGGCCGGGCGGCGCTAGGAAGGGGCCGGGCGGCACTAGGAGGAGGCCGGGCGGGCGAGCGCTAACAGCAGGCGCGACAGGGGCCAGCGGGCGCGACGGGGCCTAAGGGGCGCGACGGGGCCCAGCGGGCACGACGGGGCCCAGGGGGGGCGCGACGGGGCCGAGGAGGCGCGACGGGGACCAGCGGGCACGACGGGGCCTAGGGGGGCCGCGACGGGGCCTAACGGGCGCGACGGGGCCCAGGGGGGGCGCGACGGGGCCTAGCAGGCGCGACGGGGCCTAGGAAGCGCGAAGGGGCCCAGCGGGCGCGACGGGGCCTAGGAGGGGCGCGACGGGGCCGAACGGGCGCGACGGGGCCCAGAGGGGGGGGACGCGACGGGTGTTAGGAGGCGCGACGATGCCTAGGAGGCACGACGGGGCTCAGCGGGCTCGACGGGGCCCATGGGGGGCGCGACGGGGCCTAGGAGGCGCAACGGGGCCCAGCGGGGGCGAGTTAGGGCCTAGGGGTCGCGACGGGACCCAGTGGGCGCGACGGGGCCCAGGGGGAGCGCGACGGGGCCTAGGAGGCGCGACGGGGCCCAGCGGGCACGACGGGGCCCAGGGGGGGCGCGACGGGGCCTAACGAGCGCGACGGGGCCCAGGGGGGGCGCGACGGGGCCTAGGGGGCGCGACGGGGCCTAGGAGGCGCGACGGGCGGAAGCGGTAGGCGGGGGGATCCTAACCTAAGCGTGATACCATGATAACGTAGAAACGAATGATTTACTAGAGGTGGAAACCTAGAACAAATACTAGTTGGTTGTACTCACTAGAAGCATACCTCAGTCTAGCCTATAACTTCTACATAGATAATATGTATAAGTTGACACCCTCACCATTGAGCCGAAAGCCGCAGCGATCCATTCATGCATTCTGCTGCCAAGCGAGCCAATCGTTGTGGCAAGCAACCCAACGTCAGAGGCCGCCTTTCTAACAAAATAACGAGGTACGCCCCTACTGTGCACCTTCACTATTAGCATTCTACGTTATGGTTATCATCGCCCTCCCTAGCAGCCTGCTCGTTACTTGATAATGTTGATATGCATTGGATGGTACTTTTACCTTTCCATTTATTCTTGCAGGCAGGAATAGGAAATTAGGCTCTTAAATAATATCGGTTAACTTGATACTAAGGTGGGTCTCACCTTATTTGTTTTGCATTTAACATATCATGTATGTTTTGTTATACGTTATAGTATTTTCAAGGGGCCATGATTTACGTATCCCTTCATATTGGGCGTCGTGATTCAAAACGTGGCCAATAACAGGAAGGTGAATTCACGTGACAATGTAGGGCACATTGCACATCCCTCCTATCATGAGTCACTAGGATTCAGCTAGGCGGAAAATGGAATCCTTGCAGTGCCAAGCGGCGCTTTCCGCCTACCCCGCTGCGCCTGCTTCCGCTCCACTACCCCAAGGCACTCTGCGCGCGCGCCCTTCCGCGCTTCTCCGCGTTTCCCGAGTCTCTCCGAGTTTCAGGGCACATACTGCGCGGACAGTTGCTCTTTGGAGTCAGCAGCTGCTGCTTTCCCGTTCCCCCGCCCTTTCCGCGCTTCCCCTCGCGACGCTCGCTGGCCGCGCGCTGCAGGACGAACGTGCGCGCGGAAGGGGAGCCTCAGGGGGTGCGGAAGCAGTAAGAGGCGGGGGGGGTGAGGCGGATGGGGCAGCATCAGCGGAGAGAACGAGGGCGATCGAGAGTGGGAGGAACGAGCGGCGGGATGCAAGCAGCGCGAGGCGGGGAATATGGAGAAGACAGAGGGGGCAGGGGCCTCGTGCCAGCAGTGCTGATGCGCCTGCTGCTGCTGCCCCTGTGCCTGTGCCTGTTGCTGCTCCTCCTGCTGCTGTAGCTGCTGCTGCCGTTGCGCCTGTAGCTGCTGCTGTAGAACCGTCAGTGGGAAACCGGCTTCCTGACATTCACCCCCCAACGTCGCCTCAGCAGAGACCAACTCCCACAACTGACGCCAGAAGCTTCCGAGCTATTGCCGCCCAATGCGTAGGTTGCTTTCTCCCCATTTGTCCCCCTTCACTCTGTGACCCTCATTCCCGCAATCTCCACCCTCTGTGCTTTCCGCTACCAGGCCTCTTGGCTCTCTCTCACTCCATTTAAGAACTACGCTTGAACTTTCTCCTCTCCCTCGCTCCCCTCCTCTCCTGCCTCCTCTCCGTTTCGTCGCTTTCAGGTCCATGCAACACTCCTCACTCTCTCTCCGAACCGCCACTGGCACCTGACGAAGCACCTGAAGCACCTGAAGCAGCAGCAGCCATGGGGGAAGCAGAGGGAGGTGGCACAAGAGAGGGGCGTACCAGAGCTGGCACCAGAGGCTTTGCACGTCAGGGCTCTTGCAAGGTGGCTCAAGAGCGACCACCGGCACTTCCATGCTGTGGCAAAGGTGCGTGACATTGAGGAGGGTGGTGGGGAAAGCAAGGGGGAGGAAGCGGAGGAAGACCGGAGCCCCTAGACTCTCGGGATGTCAGAGATCTTGCGGGACCACAGGCATTTCCAGAAGGCGTGTGAAGGTGATTGGGTGGACCGCCCGTCTCTGGTTAGCGAATCTCCGGACATAGTTCCAGTGGGCGCAGTTAGGAAGACGGTTTTGACACGCGCTCTTGCGAGCTGGCTCAAGAACGACTGCAAGCATTTCCATGCTGTGGTGAAGTTGCGTGAAGGCGTGTGAAGGTGTGTGCCCTATGTGCTGCTTTTGACTTTACCTATCCCTCCCTCCCTTCCCCTGATCCTCCCTGCCTGATGTGCTTCGGTGCCTCTTTGCCCTTACCTAACGCTCCCTTCTTTCATTTGATTCTCCCTGGCGTCTCTCCCTGCTGCTCTCCTGCCTCCTCCTGCAGAGGTTGGGAGTGATAGGCCAGGGCGAAGCAGCGTGGAAGCTTCTCCAGTGCTTGGAAAACGACACGTGGGAAGCAGCAGCAGCAGCAGCAGCAGCAGCAGCAGCAAATGCAGTGGCCCCTGCAGCGGCAGCTGCAGATGCGGCAACAGCGACCGCTGCGGCAGATGCTGCTGCTGGTAAGGATAAGGGTGCTGGAGGAGAGACGAGAGGACGCAGAGGGATGTGGAAGAGGGAAGTGGTCGGGCCAAGGAATGGTAGCAGTGATGATGGCTCTCATGTTGGCAGTGCCGGCAGTCACACCATCAGCTTACAACGCAGCAGCAGCAGCAGCAGCAGCAGCAGCAGCAGCAGCAGCAGGAGGAGGTGGAGGGGGACCATGGCGCATTACACAGACGTGCTGGTGGCACTGGGGAGGTCGCAGGGGCGAGGGCAGGGGCAGCGTGGAGGGCAGATAAAGCGGATGCAGAAAGGCGGGGGCTCGATGAGGGAGTTGCAAGGAGTGGATGGTGCTGTGCTGCTGCTGAGGTGGATGGAAGCGGAGGGGAACGATGGGACGGAGGGGGAGGAGGAGGAGGAAGCTAGGTCGGAGGGCAGCGGTGTTGCTCCTCCCCCTGGTTTTGCCTTCCCTGCTGCTGCTGCTGCTGCTGCTGCCGACCCCCCTGCCCCTCCTCCTGCTCCCGATATCATAGCATACAACGCGGTGCTGTTTGCCTTGTGTGAAGCAGGCCGGGTGCGGGAAGCAGAGGCGATGGTTAAAGCCCTGCGAGAGAGGGGGCGTGTGTGGGGGAGTGGAGGGGGGGAGTGTGTGAGGCCCAATGTGTTTTCGTACAGTATCCTGCTGGGGGCGTATGCCAGAGAGGGCGATTGGAGGATTGCGGAGGCAGTATGGGCTGATATGGAGGCGTGTGGCGTGGAGGGCAACGATGTGGCTGCATGCAAGGTGAGGCTTGTAATTATTGATAAAAAATCAGCATTTCGCTGAGGGAAGAAGCCAGAGAGGGGGACTGGAGGAGGGTAGTTGCGGTATGGGCTGATGAGGAGGCGTCTGGCGTGGAGCGCAACGATGTGGGTGTGTGCAAGGTGAGTCCCTGTAATCACCCTCTCCCACGGCGCAGGCAGCATGCTCTGAGATGGAAGTGATGCGGGCGCCTGCAAGGTCATGGGTCCACCTATGGAGTAGAAGCGCTTGGTTTTTTTTTTCCGTGTACGCCACTTCATTAGGCTTTCTTAAATACTACATTATATGTTTATATTTTCATGTGAGGTAGCCTTTTTTTTTCAGCCATGATCTTTCTCTGTGCTTGTGAGCCGCGCATAAGGCATACAGGAAGGGAGGGCAGTGGAGGAAGGCCGTTGACTTCCTTTGACTGGTTTGAATGAATCTATGGTGGCCTCTTTTTCTGATCCTTGGTCCTCCTCCTGTGTGTGAGCAGCTCATTATGGCGTACAGAAAGGGAGGGCAGTGGAAGAAAGCCGTTGACTTCCTTGACTCGTTTGACTGGCGTTTCGACAGCAGCAGCAGCAGCAGCAGCAGCAGCAGCAGCAGCAGCAGCAGCAGCAGCAGTGGCGGTGGCAGTGGGGCCATGGGAAGCGCTGGGCAAAAGGACGATTGGCTGGACACTGGAGATGCTGATGATTTTGAGTATGATGATGATTTAGACAGTGAGAATGGGCACCCATCTTCCGACCGAACCCCCATCTGCAATGGTCAGCAGCCACAGCAGTTGCAGCAGCAGCAGCCGCAGGGGCTGTCTACCGGCAGTGCGTTGGAGTTTGCGAGCGTGACGACGATGAGGGCAGCAGCAGCAGGTGGGGCGCCGTGGCCCGTGGTCAAAGGAGTCTTCTGCAGGCTGCTGGGCAAGATTGGCGTGCACAGAGTGTCGGTGAGTGCGCGCGTGTCGGAGGAAGGGGGAAGGGGGGGGGGGGTTTGATGCTTTTTAGAGTTCTCGGCTGCAGCAGGCAGGGCGCTGTGCTTTCACAGGGTATCCTCACCTCGGCCAGCTTTCACTGGCCCTTGACCCCCTCCCCTTGACCCCCTCCGCTTGACCCCCTCCCCTTGACGCCCCCCTCCTGCTCCCCCTGCCCTTCACTCTCTTTCCTACCCCTCCTCTTTTCTGGTGTGTTCAAAGAAAATACCTCCCCTCCTCCACGTCTGTCTACCTGGCGCTGCTACACCCCCTCCGTCACTTCTCTTTTCCTTCCTCCCCGCCCCCCCCCCTTCATCCCCCCACGTATGCTGCAGCTCCGTGCGTTCAACGAGTACCTTCACATCTGCCAGCTGGCGCTGCCGCCCGGAGCCGTCCTCCCTGAGATGATTGCGGGGCTCAGGTGGATGGCACAGGCCGGCACTGTTCATAGTGATGATGATGGTGGCACTGTTCATGCTGACGACAGCACTGTTCATGGTGATAATGAGGGCACTGTTCATGGCAACGACAGAATGTTTTGCCCACAGATACTGCCGGACGCCGCCACCCTCAACACGCTGATGCCGGCTATGAGACGGGCAGGCCGGGCGGCAGCAGGTCTACTGTTGCACGAGATGCTGGTGGGGGGGAATGAGGAGGGGAGGGAGAGGGGGGTGGGGAGGAGTGCGGCGTTGACTCGTTTGACTGTGGGAGACTGGGCTGACTTCGGGCGAACAGGGAGGCTGCTGGTGCTGGAGAGAGCACTGCAGGATAGAGAGGGGCGGAGAAGGGAGGGGGCGATGGGAGGGAGACCGGTAGGGATTGAATCGAGTGGTGGTGATGGTGGTGTTTCTGCTGCTGGAGAGCAGAGAGGAGAGACGGAAGAGGGGAGCACGGTTGAGGGAGGAGGCAAGAGGATGGTGGGAAGGGGAGGAAAGATGCCGCGGAGGACGTATAGAGGAGAAAGGGAGGGAGGAGAGGAGGGTCAGAGGGGGAGGGGGGAGGAGGTTCAGAGGGGGTGGGGGGAGGAGGGTCAGAGGGGGTGGGGGGAGGAGGGTCAGAGGGGGTGGGGGGAGGAGGGTCAGAGGGGGTGGGGAGAGGAGGGTCAGAGGGGGAGGGGGGAGGAGGAAAAGGGTGTGAGGGAGCTGCTGGGGTTACTGGAGGCAGCTCGAGGGGTGGCTCGAGGGGTGACTCTAGGGTCAACTCAAAATTCTCCAGCAGCAAAGAAAGGCTACAGGGCGGAGCGTGTTGGCATGACAGCAGAAGCCAGGGATGTGCTTATAACGAAGCAGCCTGACGAGGATTTATGGAAAGGTGGCGCGTCAGCAGATGTAGACTGGCAGGGGATTGTGGCGGTGGAGGCTGACTGTGTGACTGTAACGGAGGTGATTCTAGCGAGGGTGGCGCTAGGGCAGGAAGAGAGGGCACTCGCTGCTTTTTGGGATGCGGTTGGGGGGAGGGATGGGGGGATGGGGAGGGGGGAGGGGATGGGGAGGCGGGACAAGAGAGTGGTTGCGGGGGGGAAAGAGAGGGGTATGGGTGGGGGAGGAGGAAGGGGAGGCAGGGACGTGAGGGGAGGAAGGGTAGTTGGAACTGATGCACAGATGCCTTCTAAGTCACCTCAAATGTCAACCCACAAGTCACTTAAAGCGGATGGGCAATTTTGCAGTGCTGCACTGAGTGCGTGCAGGAGGAAGGGATTGTGGTGGGAGGCTGAAGCCATCTGGGCGCTGATGGAACGAAAACGGTGAGTGGGGGCGGAGGGAGGGGGGGTTGGAGGAGTGAAGAGGTCAGTGCGTGCAGGAGGAAGGGCCTGTGGTGGGAGGCTGAAGCTGTATGGGCGCTGATGGAGAAAAGACGGTGAGTGGCGGAAAGGGAGAGTGCAGAGGAATAGGCAATCCAACTGACTGTCGTGGTAGCAGTGACGGCAAGGATAGACTTAACCCCAGATTCTCCTGTTTACCCTTCTGCTCAGAACCTTCAGCCCTAAACTCCCGTTTCCTCTCCCAGCATCCGTCCCACCAGCCTGTCTTATGGCCATGTGCTCCCATCAGAGGAATTTTCCCTCACCTTATGACTCCCCTTGTTGCCCCTTCCCCCCCTCCCGGCCTCCCCACCGGTCTCCCAGCATTGGACCCACATCAGCCTGTCTCACAGCAATGGTGGCAGTGATGGCACAGGCGTGGCGCAGCGAGCGGGCAGAGGAGGCACATACAGCAGCGAATTCCCTCTCAACCCCAACCCTGCACCCTGCTCGCCCCCCGCCCCCCGCCCACCCTTCTTCTTCCCCCACCCCTCTCCCAGCATCCGTCCAACACCAGCCTGCCTCACAGCCATGGTGGCAGTGATGGCACGGGCGGGGCGCAGCGAGCGGGCAGAGGAAGTGGTAGAGCAGGCACAGGCAGAAGGGGTGGCGGTGCAGCAGCAGACAGCCAACGCTCTGCTGGACGCCGTTGCCTCCACGGGGGATGTGCCGCGAACGGCTGCCCTCTTCCTCCGCCTCTTCCTCCCACACATGCTGCCGCCCCCTCCCCCCTCCCCTTCCCCCCTGCCCTCTGCCTCTCCTGCTCGATCCTCCAAGGCGCATCGCAAGACGCTGCTTCAACAGCCAGGCAGTCTCTCACTCAAGAGGCACCTGAACGCGGTGCTACAACCAGACACCTTCTCCTTCAACGCCCTGCTCAAGGCACACGCCAGACAGCTGCAGTCGCTGCAATCAGTGCAATCTGCACAATCGGTGCAATCAGTGCAGTCTATGGTGATGCTGGGACGATCAGTCAGCAGCGCCAAGGGTTCCCCGATGGCTGGACGCTACAGCAACAGCAGCAGTACCAGCATCAGCAGCAGCGATGGCAATAGCCGCAGCGGCTACAGCAACACCAGAAATGGCAACAGGAGCAGCAGCAACGGCAACCCACAACATGGCAAGGCAAATCCAGGTGCATCTGGGGGAGGTGTGGTGCTCACCCTCTATCCCCTGCGCAGGCCTAGTCCCCGAACCTACAGCCAAGGCTCAGGTATGGAGCCAGGCTCGGAGACCAGTCCAGCAGGCTCGTACTCGAGTTCAGGTTTGGTAGGCAGGGCCATGGATTCGGGTCCAGGGGCAGGCTTGGAGGCTGTAGCTGGAGGCTCGGAAGCCATTGGAGGCTCAGAGGTCATTGGAGGTTCGGAGGCCATAGCCGGCTCGGAGGCCATAGCAGGCTCGGAAGCCATAGCAGGCTCGGAGGCCATCGCAAGCTTGGAGGCCATTGGAGGCTCGGAAGCTGCTGCTGCAGATGTGAATGCTATAGGAGGAGTCTCGGATCCAGCATTTGTGGAGGGAGAGGGTGTGAGAAAGGGCGAATTTAGCAGCGTGAGGCCCTTGGAAGGGCAGGAGGCCTCCAGGGGCAATCAGGGATCAGCAGGCGGTGATGAGAAGGGATGGGCGGTGAAGGGGCCAGTGGAGGTGTTTCGGGAGATGCAGGCTATGGGCGTTGCCATCGACGAGTACTCCATCTCTGTAAGCCGTGATCCGCTTCGGTAAGCAGAGAGATCAGAGTCATTCTTTTGGAATGCAGTCGATGGGCGTTGCTATGGACGAGTGCCTCCATCCATTGCTGCCACTTGATGTCGATGGCGGTACTTGACGACATGTCGGAGTCACATTGTTGCCTCTCCTCTCACACCCATCCTCCCCCCACCCCAAACTCCCCTCCCCCGAACTTCCCTCCCCCCCCCGTTCCCCTACCAGCTGTACGCGCCCTCACTAGAAGCACTCCGGCGTGCTGATGAGGCATCAGCCCTCCTCGATATAATCACATCTCATGGCTATCACAGCAGCCGCTTCTTGCCCCTCTGGTGCTCGCACATCGCCGGGGCGTGTGTGGGACGGGTGGGGGTGGGGGAGGTGGGGAGGCGGGACGTGCAAAGAGGGATGGAGGTGTATGGGAGGATGAGGGGGATAGAGAGAGAGGAGGATGGGGCGCTGAAGAAAGTTATTTGGATGCTGCTGCGGGCATGTGAGGTAAGGGGAACAAGCGGGTGGGAGTGGGGGAGGTGGGGAGGCGGGACGTGCAAAGAGGGATGGAGGTGTAGGGGAGGATGAGGGGGATAGGGAGGGAGGAGGATGGGGCGCTGGAGAAGGTTATTTGGACGCTGCTGCGAGCGTGTGAAGTAAGGGGAGAGGAGGATGGGTAGGTTGATTTGAGATACCTGTTATAGGAATAGGGAGAGGAGGATGGGGCGCTGGAGAATTTATTTGGATGCCGCTGCGTGCTTCTGAGGTAAGGGGAGATGAAGGGTGGGTAGGGTGTTTTGAAGTACCTACGATAGGCACCGGGAGCGGGAGGATGGGGCGATGGAGAAGGTTGTCTCACGGGTTGCGTCACAGCACCAGTGGGGTTTATGGAATACATGTGTTCTCTTTTCGTCTCTTCCCTGCCAGGAGGTGGGCATGTGGCAGGACGCCAGGCAGCTCTTGGACGACTACCGATCCCTCAGGCAGGCACTGCAGGTTAAGGCAAGAGGCTTTTATGTCAAGACCCCGTCCAAGGCAATGGCACCAGTAACAAGAGATGCACCCGTGGTAGCAGGTGCTTCCCTGACAACAGAAGCAGCAGAGCCAGCAGAGCTAGGGGAAGTAGGAGATGCGCCCATAGAGGCTTATCACATGGTGATGGCGGCATGCGATGCGGCCGGCGAACCTCTAGAGGCGCTCCAGGTATACCGGGACATGCTGGCGCGGGGGCTTGTACCCTCTATAAGCACGTTCGCTGTTATCATGCGCGCGCTGCAAAGGGGCGGGCTGTGGGTGAAGGCAATGGAGGTGTACCAGACAATACCGCAGGGCATGAAGGGGGGGATGAGTGGGTGGTGATGCGAGGGAGGAGGAGAGGGATGGTGAATTAGCCTTGTGTGTTGACCCATCATGCAGCTTGAAGTTGCATGTGTTGGTTGGTAGTAGGAGCACTAGGGCTTGTGGGTGAAGGCGATGGAGGTGTATTAGACGATACCATAGGGCATGAAGGGAGGGATGAATGGATGGTGTCTTGATTCCTCTAAACCCCGTGGCAAAATAGCAGAGGGGTTATCAAGCTGAGACCCCACTTGATGGAGCCCCCCACCAGACGCCCCAGGGGTTGGTTTGGGACGAAGAGGGGATAATTTGCGGGCAGGGCACACTGCATGGAGCGGGGAATTAACGGATAGTGGTGATGTGTATCACATGATGCCACAGGGCATGGAGGGGGGATGAATGAATGGCTGGTGATGGGAGGGGGGAGGGATGGTGCAGCAAGATAAGATGATTTCATTGTTGAGCAGTGGGCTGTGGGTGGAGATGTTGCAGGGGATGGAGGGGGGAGAGATGATGTGGGGAGAGAGAAGTATGGTAAGAAAGGCATGAAGGGGTGGTGTTATTTCTGTTGTCCTAATATCTGTCGAGCTATAGTTATTCAGGCAGTTCTGTTGTAGGCGATTGCATTTTTTATCTCAGGCATGTAAAGTGGATGGTTACTCACATTTCTGTACTCAAAACATATGTACTACCAGGGCCAGCACTAAGCGGATCACCGGAGATCCCAGGGCCAGCAATCGAGTGCTAGACTGCCTCCCAATGTGCACGAAGAAAATCACCTTGCTTGTCGCGAGCTAGGATCATCTAGGTAGCTTTCTCAGGCTCATTGTCCCGAGTAGCTCCGTGCATTGTCTCGCCTCCCTAAGACTGCGTGCACATGCTGCAGCGCTAGGTCCTTCAGAATGCCACTTCATAATTAAACCAGGGTCCGCGTGCACATGCTGCCTGACCTTTGTTCTTCAGTTTTGGGACCGTTAGGGAAGAATGGATAGAGGAGGTGAACCTGTCGACGTGCGGTTTTGTCTCTCCGCCTCCACAGACGACGGTCGTACCATGAGTCGAGCTCAACCCGTGGATGCATCGTTTTCCCGTATGACCGATATAGTCACAGCTGGCCATTGTCACGATGGTGCTAGTACCGCCTCGCTCGACGCTCGTGTTTTCATTCCCCGTGACGCTCCGCTGACGTGGAATCCCGAAGACGTGGCAGGGAGCACGTGGTCAGACGGCGAGATGCCGCTGGTACGTGGGAGACCTTGACGGAATATCCTGACAGAAAATACTTGACGGAATATCCTGACAGAGAATACTTTAGAGATTTGCTCTAAACTTTTTAATTGTGAACTCCAGTTTGTGTCTCAATTGTCACTGCTATCAATGCTGCCAATGCTGCTAATGCTGCCAATGCTATCACTGGTATAAATGCAAATCTGCATTCTCATGCGCTTGCATGCATTCCCATGTGTGATTGCTCCCGAATGCAAACCGTCCAGGTGAGCATCATCATGCCGGTGCACAACGCAGCTCCGTTCCTCCAGGATGCGATCGACTCCATCCTGGCTCAGGTGGGCAGCACATGCTCTCGGGAATGCACGGTCCCTATTCCACTGCAGCATCATCATAGTGCACAACGCAGCTCCGTTCCTCCAGGATGCGATCGACTCCATCCTGGCTCAGGTGCCCTGCATGTCACCGCATGCGAATGCGCTTGCATGCGTTCCCATGTGCCGATGCACATTGTTCAACTGAGCATCATCATTCCGGTGCATAATGGAGCATCGTTCCTCCAAGAAGCGATCAACTCCATCCTGGCGCAGGTGCGCTGAACAGCCCGCCGATAGCATGCATTTTGAGTCGACTCAAAAGCCCGCCGATAGCATGCATTCCCATGTGGCAACGCACGTTGTTGACATGTGCCCGTGGTCATCCACCAGGTGAGTGTCATCATGCCGGTATGTGTACAACGCAGCTCCGTTCCTGCAGGTAGGGACCAAGTCTATCCTCGCACAGCCCTCCGATTGCATGCCATGTGCCTGTGCACATCCCCCAGGTGTGCATCATCATGATTCATGCACCAGTGCACAACGCAGCATCGTTCCTGCAGGAATACATCCATGTACCCTCCATCCATGCTATGCATGTACCCTCCATCCATGCTATGCATGTACCCTCCATCCATGCTATGCATGTACCCTCCATCCATGCTATGCATGTACCCTCCATCCATGCTATGCATGTACCCTCCATCCATGCTATGCATGTACCCTCCATCCATGCTATGCATGTACCCTCCATCCATCCTATCTCAGCCATGCCTGCCGCCTTCACGTTCCAAATGGCCTCACCTCAGCAATGCTTTCCAATGAGCTCAAATGCACGTTGGGCGATCTTGGGTGTTGGGCGATCTTGGGTGTTTGGCGATCTTGGGTGTTGGGCGATCTTGGGTGTTTGGCGATCTTGGGTGTTGGGCGATCTTGGGTTTTGGGCGATCTTGGGCTTTGGGCGATCTTCGGCGTTGTGCGATCTTGGGCGTTGGGCGATCTTGGGTGTTGGGCGATCTTTGGTGTTGGGCGATCTTGGGTGTTGGGCGATCTTGGGTGTTGGGTGATCTTGGGTGTTGGGCGATCTTGGGTGTTGGGCGATCTTGGGCGTTGGGCGATCTTGGGCGTTGGGCGATCTTGAGCGTTGGGCGATCTTTGGGGTTGGGCGATCTTTGGGGTTGGGCGATCTTGGGTGTTGGGCGATCTTGGGTGTTGGGCGATCTTGGGTTTTGGGCGATCTCGAGTGTTGGGCGATCTTGAGTGTTGGGCAATCCTGGGTGTTGAGCCGTGAGAGGACCTTCACAGAAGGCCAGTCTTTGAACATCCTGCATCTCCGTGTGGATGTGCCTTCCTATGTGCACATGGTATTCACTCTTCCTATGTATGTTTCTATGATGCATCTGTACCAGGTATTTGGCATGGACAGGTGGTACAGGCTGTTCCCCATGCACTCCCCAGAGGACCTGCGCAGAATGCCCAGGCTGCAAATCTCTGTGTGGATGCGCCTCTCTGTGTGTCCTTGCTTGCTTGTATCCCCATCAGGTATTCTTCATGGACTGGCGGTACCGGCTGCTCCCCTTGTACTCACAGCGGTCGTTTGGAGCTTGTAGTGCTTGATGACAGGCGAGCACCGGCCAATCATGGGCCATCCTCGAGGCAAATCCCTTGGTGCCTGTCTATTTCCGTGGTTCCATGTGGCTTGTTGTGACCCGTTTGTGCAGACCCACAAGGGCCCGATGGAGCTCATAGTCTTCGACGATGGCCCGAGCACCGACCATTCCCGGGCCATTCTCGAGTCGAATCGGTCAGTGCTTGCCGCCCGTGGAATCACCTTGAAGATCGTCGCCGAGCGGACCGCGACCACCCTTGGCAGCAGCACGGATAGCCAAGGGACCAAGTCCTACTTTGACGACAGCAATCTGACCGAGACCAGCCTTGACAGCAGCACGGATAGCCACCAGACAGAGACCATCCTGGACAGAAGCACAAATGGGCATGGCGACTGCTTCAGGAACGCTTACAGTGGCCATTGCAGGGAGAATGATGGTGGTGGTGGGAGCGTGCACTGCGATGGTTGTGACTCGTTAAGCGCGTGTGGCAGCAATGGGGACAGCAGCAGCATCCGTCTCAGCAGTATAGGAGGCAGCGGGGGCAGTGCTGAGACGGGTACGGCACTCAGAGGGGCGCCCCTGCTGTCAGAGGGATCGGCTGAGAGGTGTCAGCCACGGGGGTGTGGGTTTGGGCGCAACCGGGCCATCGAGCACAGCCGGGGAGAGTACCTGTGCTTTGCTGACGGGGTGAGAGGCCAAGGTAGGGGCGTGGGGCGTAGGGTGATAAGGAGATAAACGGCCAAGGGGATGTAGTGTGATAAGTTTTTGAGGCACAATAAACGGCCAAGGGGAATGGAGTGGATTCATGTTGCACGTTCATAGGTGACTTTTGAGTCGACTCAAAAGTCATTCATGGGCATATGCAATGCCGTTCCCCGCACATCAACATGCACATCTCATACGCATCTCATACACACCTCATACACATCACGTACACATCTTGGTGAAGCATGGCATTTTGGCACGGATCATGCAATTTTAGTCAATTTTTAGACTTATACACCCTCGTACGCACATTCTTTCTGTGCCATATACGCTGTATAACTCCTCAGGATGACGTCATGGCTCCGGGTCGCATCTCCCGGCAGCTTGCCCTGGCCTCTCAGAGCCATAAACTGTTGGTGAGAATTGATGCTGCTGCTGGTGAGAACTTCTGGTGGTCAAAATTGCTGCTGGCCTCTCCGAGCCATAAATTACTGGTGAGATATCAGCTGTTGCCAGGTGCGTTTTTGTTTTGAGCCATAAGCCGTTGCGGATTATGGCGGCATTGTTCCGGTGCGTTAGATGTAAAAGATGTTGACTGGAATGTTCAGACCTCAAACTACCTGTCTCGCCTCTCCAAACTCCTTCCCGGTGAGACAAGTGCGCTCTAGCGCTCCAACTTCATTGGCACACCAGCACCCTCTCCCCGTCGCAGCTGTACCTTCAGCAGCTGGTGGATGGAAACCACCCTCATCGCCCTAACCTCCAAACGCACTGCTTCCCCTCCCTGCAGGTCGGTTCTAACTTCGTTCGCACCCCAGCTGATGCCACGCCAAGGTTAACAGCGTGGGCCAATTCCCTCTCCCAGGTGCAGCTGTACCTGCAGCAGCTGGTGGAGACCACCCTCATCGCCCCCACATGGTTCTGCTCGCGGCAAGTCTTCAAGACTGCTGGCCCATTTGATGAGAGCGGGCCAGGCACGCCCGATGACCTCATGTTCTTCCACCAGCACTTAGCTAATGGTGGCTGGCTGGCAAAGGTGAGAGCAAGTGGGGTTGGAGCGGTGGATGGTGGCTGGCTGGCCAGGGAGTCTATTTTTGAGGCGCCTCTATTTTTTAGGCCAGGGAGGCAAAAATAGACTCCTCACGGCTGGCTGGCCAGGGAATGAATGCGATGAACGGGGAGGGATAGAGAGTCCGTTGGCCATTTCACAGCTGTACCTGCAGCAGCTGGTGGAAACCACCCTCATCGCCCGCACCCGGTTCTGCTTCCGACGAGGTTTTCATGCTTCAGGTCCCTTTGATGAGAGCGGGCCAGGCACGCCTGATGACCTCATGTTCTTCCACCGACACCTGGCCAATGGTGGCTGGCTGGCTGGCTGGCTGGCCAAGGTGCAAGTGTCACCATGAGACTAGGCAGGTCGGGGTTCATTTTTCCCAGATGAGAGTGGCCCAGGCACGCCTGATGACCTCTTGTTCTTCCACCGACACCTGGCCAATGGTGGCTGGCTGGCTGGCTGGCTGGCTGGCCAAGGTGCAAGTGTCACCATGAGACTAGGCAGGTCGGGGTTCATTTTTCCCAGATGAGAGTGGCCCAGGCACGCCTGATGACCTCTTGTCCTTGCACTGACACTTGGCCACCATTGGCTGGCTGGCAAAGGTGGGAATGGGGGGAAGAAGACGAGGTGAACGGTGAAGGAGGGTCGGGGAACGGAGGAGTTGTGTTTCGAGGCACCTGGATGCAAGGCAGGTCAGGGTTTGGGCACCTTTGATGCGAGCGGACCAGGCACGCCCGGTGAGAAGAGTGCGCCCAAGTGAGACGAGCACGCTCTGGTGAGGTGAGCTCGCTCTAATGAGACACGTGCGCCCTAGCGAGACGAGCGAGCCCTCTTGAGAGACGAGCATGCCCTAGTGAGACAAGCGCGCCCTCGTGAGACGAGCGCGGTTTAGTGAGGCGAGCATAGTGTCTCGGAAAGGCCTTGTGTTCTGGTGAAGCATAGTGCCCCGGTGAAGCATAGTGTCCCAGTAAAGCACGGGGCAGTAAGTGAGGCTACTGAAGAGAACCATTTCACCCTCCTTGAAATCTCTCGTCTCCCATCCCGCCTGCGCAGGTGCCTGAACCTCTACTCACGTATTGCTTCCACTCGGCATCAGTGACAGGGTCCAGAGGGTGCCCTTGGGAGAGCATCTGGGAGCAGCGAGTCAAACACCTCCAGGCACAGCTACTATCAGGGTACGTGTCGTCTCTCCACCTTTCCTGACTCGCAGCTGCCTGCCTCAGCGTCAAGTCAAATATCGCTTCCACTTGGTATCCTGGGAGCCCCTGGGAGGCCATTCGGGAGCCGCGAGTTAATCAGCTCCAGGCACAGCTACTATCAGGGTACGGCTTCTTCTTTGGTGGTGGGTCGTTTTGGATCTGTGCATGACAAGCACGACTTCTTCAAGCGCCTGGAAGTATTCAAGTCGCCGCTCACTGGCGGCCATTGCTTGGCTCACTGGCGGCCATTGCTTGTCTTCTCCTGTTGAATCATTGTCATTGTATGCGTGCACTCCCCTACAGGAGATCCGTCCCTGTTGTTTCTGCACTCCCTGCCTGCATGCCCTTCTCCCTGCTTGCATGCCCTTCTCCCTGCCTGCATGCCCTTCGCCCTGCCTGCGTGCCCTTCGCCCTGCTTGCATGCCCTTCTCCCTGCTTGCATGCCCTTCGCCCTGCTTGCATGCCCTTCTCCCTGCTTGCATGCCCTTCTCCCTGCCTGCATGCCCTTCACCCTGCCTGCATGCCCTTCGCCCTGCTTGCATACCCTTCGCCCTGCTTGCATGCCCTTCTCCCTGCTTGCATGCCCTTCTTCTCCCTGGCAATTCCTCGCAGGCCCAGTGGCCCTTGCTGGTCGGAATTCACAATCTGGAATGCAGGCAAGGAAGGCAGGAGGCTCTACCGCTCCCTTTCTCCATCGAACCAAGCTAAGGTGCGCAGCTTAGTTGCAGGGATGTTTGCCACTCCACGCAACCGAATCCAGGCCCTCCTTGCTCTTTGGTTCTCATGGTCGTTGCATTCCTGTGCTGCAGGTTATTGCCTTCTGTGACGTGGATGTGAGGAAGATTGCACGGGGGGTGTACATGCACCATGAGTCCGGTAGGGCGGTGCCAGTGATCCATTGGTCTGAGGCCCGGCCACCACTGCTGCTGTGTGTGAAACGTGGGCTCACTGGGGGTGGGTTTGAGGAGATTGTAGAGTCTCTGGATATGACAGAGGGGCTGGACTATGTATACTTTTCATAAGTTTAGGGTTCAGGGCTCCTATGAAGTTGGATCTGACGCGCACGGTACAGTGCAGTGCAGGTGCTGATTTGTTCATTCCAGTCCACGCGGTGCGGTGGATCCAACTTCGAGTGGATGCATGAGTGTACAAGGATACGCCCTTATTATTGGTACCACCAGCAAGTACTAATGAGGATGGTATACACCATGCTTCCTGCAGGGTAGTGCCTATGGTCCACTGGTTTGAGGCATGCTGCCATTGCTGCCAGGTGTGGAAAGAGGGCTCATTCTGCTTTGTGTTCAAGTTTACAAGGACTCGGTATATGCATATCAACATCCCCAGAGTAGGTCATCTACTAGCCATCTGAGGGACGGTGGTGCTCTCCTCTCCAGTGACTATTGCCTAACAAGTCATGCCAATGTGACAATACATACAGCTACTGGTATATTGCAATACTAGATGGTATGTGTGATGTGGACCCTCCTCCTGAATCATACAAAAACGGACAGTAGCAGCATCCCCGGCTGCACCTCCAGCGGCCTATGACGAACAGCAGCTGCCCTTGTTGGCATTTGCATCTGCTCCCACCAGAATGGAGGTGCCTTCTCCCGGCCCTGCAGTCGCCCCCTCTTCTTGCGCCAGGGCCTTCTTGCTCACAATGCGGTAGATCTCTGTCAACACCCGGTGGAATGCGTTCTCAACGTTTGTTGAATCCAGCGCAGACGTCTCAATGAAAGAGAGGCCCTCCTTCTCTGCACGTGGAGGAGAAAGGGGGCGAAGAAGAGGTATTGCTAGTTACACTTGCTAGTTTAACCCAGACTCCTCTGAAACACAAGGGTTTCAGCATTGTGGTATCAGAATATGGAAGTTGGTGTCTTAATTTTCTGTCTTGGTACCTGGACAAGTGTCAGGGAGGAGTCAGAGATGTGTGTGGTGCATGCATGTGCATTGGAATGATGCTGATGTGTGCGCGTGTGAGTGTCTGTGTCTGTATGTACGTGTGGCCATGTGTGTGTGTGTTTGAGTGTACGTCTCTGGATGTGAGTGCGCGTGTATGGGAGAGCGAGAACGGAAAATGAGAGAGAGGGTAAGGGAATCAGGGTACGTTCCGGGCTCGTGTCATCCGGGCTTCCGGTCATCATTTGCCCCATGCCGGAAGACCCGAAGTTCCAAAACGCAGGCAAACGATGACCGGAAGTTGGGATGACACGAGCGCGGAATGCACCCTCAGATAGACAGAGAGACCACCTACCAGAGAACCCATGAGCGTCGTCGGTAGAGACCGCGCGTCGGATTTATTACCCACCGGCATGATCACGATGTTGGAGTCCGCATGAGAGACGAAGACACCACGAACCAGCAAATCCTTGAGCCTCTTCGATGGAAACCGCGCGTACATGCCTCAAATCCGTCTTATTCCCCACCAGCATGATCACGATGTTGGAATCGGCAGGAGAGATTCAGCGAGACACCACGTACCAGCAAATCCTTGCGCGTCGTCCGTCGAAACCGCGCGTAGATGCCTCAAGTCGGATTTATTCCCCACCAGCATGATCACAATGTTGGAATCCGCGTGGTCTCGGAGCTCCTTGAGCCACCGCTCCACGTTCTCGTACGTCACGTGCTTCGTGATGTCGTAGATGATCAGCGCGCCGACCGCTCCCCGGTAGTACGCGCTGGTGATCGCACGGTACCGCTCTTGACCGGCGGTGTCCCAGATCTGAGCCTTGATCGTCTTGCCATCCACCTGGAGAAGATTCGGCACAGAGAAATTCGATATTTAGGAACTGACGGTAAAAAAAGGAGAATATATGAAGTCAGTAATCACTAATGAGCTACATGCGGATTCCTGGCGGAAGAAGAATATATGGAGGGACGTAGGGCGGATTTCTCCCAAAATCACCTGAATGCTTCTTGTTGCGAACTCGACGCCGATAGTGGACTTGGATTCTAGACAAAACTCGTTGCGGGTGAACCGAGAGAGCAGATTGGACTTCCCTACACCGGAGTCTCCGATCAGCACGACTTTAAAGAGGTAGTCGTACTCATCATCCGCCTTATGAGCCATTTTTTTACCCAAGCAATGGAACCAAGAAAGCGTGCAGACTGGAACTAACAGAGGCTGAGGGAAAAGGACTCCGTTTCCGGTGAATTTGAATCTTTAGGAGAAGGACCTAGATTTTTGCGATCAGCTTATCAAACCGTAGAGTAAAACGAACGAGAAGCACGTGAGACTAACACAAGGTAGCACAAGATGCCGTTCTAACGGGCCGTTGCAAGACAAGTCTCCTTTGGTACTGACTGCAGAATGCAAGGGGGAGACTCCTGTCCTGTTGCAGAAGCAAGCTAGGCTAGGCAGATAAATACGATAGACATTCAGGTAGTGGAATAAGAGAAAGGATGTCAACAAGAACAGAGAGAACTTCTGAATGCCTGACTGAATGCGTCAACCCCTGACTGGAAGGTTGTGTGCCTGACTGAAGCGAGGGGAAGGAATCAGGCGGGAATGGGGCTTCGAAGGTGATTCAAGCGAATGCCAGCCAGCCCTCACGAAACTCTCGAGGCGAGGTATTTCCCGTTCCCATCCCATGGGGAAAAGTCAGGAAACCGCGTTTTGCGACTCACAGTTAAGGTAAAGGAGGTGGCACTTAGCCGAGAGGTACCTGTTTCAGGCCGTACCGCCTGGGTCCAAAAGAGTCAGAGCACGCCCTCCCTGAATCTTGTACTCGCTGAAACGAGCTTCGAGCATCAGGAAATACCTTCGGCTGAAATGGTGTTGCGATATAAGTTATCAACGAGAAACACATTCTTCCCCCAACCCCAACCCAGTTCCATTCGTGAAGTCAACACGGCAGCTCTAAGGAAAAGCATCATTTTTATGCTCAGCCTAAGGCTGGGAAATATGTATCTCTATTCGTCGTCTAGAGGCGCACTTATGCACTAGGTAGTCGATTTGTCTGTGAATGTCAAGCTAAGACCTAAAAGAAGTGAAAATGGCGAGGATACGTACGACTCCGATCGCGAGCTTCGCGAAGGATCGGTTTGTTCGCGCACGCGTGCCTCGCGTCGGGCCCGCGGATCACTCTTCAAGCGGAGGCGAGGAGAATACCGCGTCGGCTGAAGGTTCGGATCGGAGCATCGATGATCGATCGGACGGAGATGAAACGCATCAGGGAGATGAAACTCACGGAGTTGAAACGTACGGAGAGGACGAAGTTAGTCAAAAGGATTCCGCGGAAATTAGAGAATCGCCTTCAGAGCGGGACGATCCCGAGGCCGCGGATCGGATCCCGCGCAAGAGGAAGAGGATAGCGGGAGTGACTGTAACGAGAACTCCGGAAGGATCGTATGGTGACTATAACGAGGGTTCGCCAGAGAGAGGGAGGTCGGGGGGTCAGTCCCTATTCGTCCCGCGGAAAAGGCAGAGAACGCGGCGGATCCGAAATGGGGGCGGAACGAACGGCGGAGGGGCAAGTGGCAGCGGCAGAGGGGGGAGAGAGCGGAGGCCGTTAATGGAGGGAGAAGAGGAATCGGGAAGTGCGGAGGGCGATGGATCGGGGGACAGCGGAGAGGGTGAGGGGGGCGGGGGAGAGCATGGGGGGAGGGCGAGGCGGAGGCGGAGACCGAGTGTGAAAGCGGGGGAAAGAGGGGTGGGGAGGGGGAGGAGAGAGAGCGAGGGGGGGATCAAGGGAGAGCGGCAGGGAATGGGTGGCGCTAGGAGGCATAGGAGTGGGAAGAAAAAGGAGGAGGGGGATAGCGAGGAGGAATCGGAGGGGAAGGGGAGGAGAAGGGAGAGGAAAACGAGGAAACTGCTGAACTACAGTGACAATGAGGAAAATGCTGCTGATAGCGAGGAGGCCAGTAAGGGAGATAGTGGAGGGGAGGAGCAAGAGGAAGAGGGGGGGGGTGAGGGAGAGGGGAGTGCAGAGAGCTTTGGGGAGGAGGGAGGGGGTGTAGGAGGGCGGGGAGGTGAGGGAGGAGTGGAGGGTTGGAGGGAGGAGGAGGATGGAGAGGAGGAGGGATGTGTGAAGGGGAGACGCGGGAAGGGGGATAGGGGAGGGCGTGGCGAAGAGGGTAACGTGAAGCAGGGTGAAGGGGAAGGGGAGGATGAGGTGGGAGGGAAGAGAGGGAAGAGACGGAAGGGAGGCAAGGGAGAGTTGAAAAGGAGAAGAAGGCGAGGAAGGGGGGCAGCAGAAGAGGGCAGGGAGGCAGAAGAGGAGATGGGGGATGGGGGTGCTGTGGCTCGGAAAAGGAGGGGGAGGAGATCAGCTGCCAGCCCGATTCAGGGGGGAGAGGGAGAAGGGGCGTCTGGAGCGGCAGCAGGAGTGAAAGCAGGCGGCGCAACACTGGTGGCGTCGCCAGCACCAAAGAAAAAGTAAGTGCTGGTTCTTTCCTGACTTAGCTTGTCAGTAGGTATGCAGGAGGGCTGTGTGCTCGCCCGCGGGAGGGCTCTCTGCTCGTTGTTTTTCTACCTCATTGGAGTTAGTGCTTGGCTAAGAAAGGCTGCCCTTGTTTAGTTTTGGGGGCCGTTGCAGGAGCTTCTGCTCTCATCCCCTCTTTCCTCTCCTCCCTTTTATCCCATGCCACTTTTCTAAGTCATAAGGGGGCGTAGTCCCACGAGGAGGGGTGTCACTGCGCTGTGTGCGAGAGAGATTTGAGCAGAGAGTAATGTTCCTATCCGTGCTCTTCCGTCTCTCCCTTCCCTTCCTCTCTTTTATGCCCTTGTGCTCAAGTCACAGGGGGACGCAGTCCCACAGGGAAGGGTGCCCGTGCGTGGTGTGCGAGGGGATTCGTCGCAAGGAAAGGCGCACCCTTGAGTTTGGGAGGGAGATCTCTAAGAAGGAGCTTGACCAGTGGAGGAGGAAGGAGAGGAAGGAAAAGGAGACGCAGAGGAGGAGGGAGGCAGAGGAGGAGAGGAGGAGGAGGGAGGAGGAGGAGGAGGAGAAGAAGAGAGAGGAGGAACATGAGAGGAGGAGGGAGGAGAGAGAGAGGAGGAGGGAGGAGAGTGAGGAGGAGCAAGGGGAGGGGGAAGGGGCAAGAAGGGGGAAGGGGAGGAGGATGAGGAGGAGGAGGATGATGGGGGAAGACGCTGAGGAGAAAGAGGAGGAGGAGGAGAGGAGGAGGAGGGAAGAGGAGGAGGAGGACGACGAGGAGACTGAAGAGGAGGAGAGGGAGGAGGAAGAAGAAGAGGAGAGGGCAAAAGGCACAGTGGAGATGGGGAGGGAGAAGGCGGAGAGGAGGGGAAGAAAGGGGAAGGGATTCGAAGCAGCAAAGTCCAAGGCTTTCAAACAAGAGGTCACAACAAGAGGGGCTGCTATCACCACGCCTGGTGCTGAAGCAGAATCAAGCGGAGACACGGGTCGGGAGGGGGGTGAGGACAGGGAGGGGGATGAGGATGGGGAGGGAGATGAGGATGCGCGTGCAGATGCAGAGACGGATTCGGAGGAAGCAACGGAGTCAGAGCGGGAGGAGCTGGAGGGAGGAGAAGCAGGACTGGCTGCTGAGTCGGGTCAAAGGGTAGAAAGGTGGGCAGAGGGGGAGGAGTGGGAGGGAGAGGAGGGAGAAGCGAGTGAGGGTGGAGGAATGGAAGGAGGGGAGGGAGGAGGGAGGAAGGGAGAGGAAGAAAAGGGAGGTGAAGAGGGGAAAGAGGAGAAAAAGGAAGAGGAGGAGGATGAGGAGGAGACTGAGGAGGAGGAGACTGAGGAGGAGGAAGGAGAAGAAGAGGAAAGGGAAGCATCTGGTACTGCTGCTACTGGCAACAATGCTTTTGGCGTTCCTGGTGTTGCTGGTACTGCTGCTACTACTGCTACTGCTGCTGCTACAGCTGGTGCTGCTACAGTTGCTGATGATACAGGCACTAGCGATGAGGCTACTGAGCTGGATACAGATGATGATGACGAGGATGGTGCTGAGGTGGCAGGTGACGATGCTGAGCAGGTGATTTTGGATGGTGGGGCTGCTGCTGACGTGTCCACACCCTCTGTTGAGCTGGCAGGGGAAGTGAGTGGAGAGGATGTGACTGAAATGAGGGATAGAGAAGGGGAGGAGGAAGAGGTGATGGAAGTGAGGGGAGGTGAGAGGGGACGGGGCATGAGAAGCACAGAGAAGGGACGGGGTGGGAAGAGGGAGAGGAAAGGAGGTGAGGAGGGAGGGGAGGTGAACGAGAGAGAGAGGGATGTGGTTGAAGTGAGGGGGAGGAGGAGAGACAGTGGGGAGGAGGTGATAGTGGTGGGAGAGAGGGGGAGGAGGGGGGACGGACGTAGAGGTAGGGGAGGCGAGGGGCAGATAGTGGATTTGGAGGAGTGCGGCACCCAGGAGATTCAAGGGACTGGCATTCAAGAGGAGGATGAAGGGGCGCAGGAGATTCAAGAGGAGGGGGAGGAGGATAATGGCATTCTTGATGATGGCGCCACTCAGCAGGTGGAGGATGAGGAAGAGGATGATGATGGGACTCAGGAGATAAAGGACGATGCAGAGGAGGGGGAGGAGGTGCAGGAGGGGGAGGAGGAGGGGGAGGATGGTGGTGCGGGTGAGGATGAGGAGGAGGAGGGGGAAGGGAAGGCGGGGGAGGAAGTGAGAGGGGAGGCAGGAGAGGAGGAGGAAGAAGCTCGGGAGGTGGAACAGGCTGCGGAGAGACAAGCGCAGGAGCCTCGACTGGTGGAAGGGCTTGCAGGAGGACCTGCGAAAGCGCCATCGAGCATTCCGGTATGTCGACAGGAGGTAATAGAGGAGGAGTCGCGAGCGAGTGAGCCTCAGCTGGTGGAAGGGCTTGCAGGAGGGGCTGCGAAAGCGCCATCATGCATTCCGGTGCGTAAACAGAAGGAAATGTTGTTAGCCCTGTGATTGTCAACAAACGAGCTCTGGGTACACTTGGAAACCAGTGGAATTTCAGTGATGCAAACTACAAACCCTGCTCGCTCACCTCTGCTGCCCACTTCTAGTCCCTCTTCGACGCCTTTATCGATGTTTTTTAAAAAAGTGGCAAGATCTTTTTGCGTAATGCATTTCTGTACGTTTCTATCCATCTCGTCCTCCCATTCGTTGTGAGCAGAAGCGATTCCTCAAGGAACTGAGGGAGCTTCGGGAAATCAGCGGGATTCCTGAGCCTGCTTTGGCCTCGGATGTTGCTGAGCCTATAGGAGGCAGGCGGGCTTGGACCGAGCCTGCAGCAGGCTCTGCGGCTCGGGGCTGGCCTGCTCCGAGTGTTCTCCGAGATCCGACCTCCATTGCCTACTATGTAAGAAGAACTCACCATTACTCGCTTTGCCGCTCTTACTGTAACTCCGTTTGATTATTTTGATTAGTTTCACTAGTTTGAATTGAGCGCTTGACGTCTGAGCTGTCTGCATCCCCCTTGGAACCCCCTCCCAATCCCCTCCCCCAACCCCCCTCCACCCCCCCAAATTTCCCTTTCTACAGTATTCAACATCATCTTGGCTTCCTGTCCCATCTTCAATCCCTTCTCCTTCATGTTCTTTCTATTCTCCTTCTCTCCTGTTACTACTTCCAATGTGTAATGCTTCTCAGGTGCCGACTGGACGTCCGCATATCCCAAAGCAATTGCCCAAGGATGTCATAAGTATAGGTGCTCGCTTGTTTGCCAACAGTCCAGGGGCGTTGATGTGGCAGCAGCAAGCAAATGCGGGAGAGGGAGGTTCGCTGAAAAAGAAAAGTGCTGCTGCGCTAGCTAGCTCGGGTTCTTTCTTTGTTGGTTTGTAGCTTGTCAGTCATGACATATTGATGGTGTGATACAATTTAGAAGCCTCAGTGCATTTGTTGTCGTGCATCTAAACGCATTTGACGGCTAATAGCGGATTTTGACTGCTGGCTGAAGGCGAACAGTGTGGCCTCGCGAATCTTGACGGATTGTTGGTGACTGGGCGGGCAGGCACTTCGAGCTGTAACCCGGTCAGCGGCTACAACTCGCAGTGCAAGGTTCCTTCCTGGCCCTACTTGCTCGCAATTCGCGAACCCAATCAAGGGTTCGTCAGCCGACAGTTGGCAGCTTGGCCGTGTTTTCGGGAGCCGTCAGAAGGAGACGGCAACGGGCAGGACGTGCCCACTGCCCAGTTTGTTCCTGCCAGAACAAATCTCACAATATTATCACGGTGTATTTTCAGGAATTTTACCCTGATGTATATCTTCCTGCTCAACTCGAACCATCGTGTTTGTCAGACATATCATTTTGCTCTGCAAGCTTGACTGGTCGATAGTCACTCATTCATATCCTTAGTGCCTCGTTTCATTTTCTTCGTGCCTCGCTCAGCTCGAGCCACTCACCTCTACATTCTTTGACTAATAATTCTGCTTGATTAGGTTCGCACGTTTTCTGGCCGTAACCATTCCGTTGCTCCTCCTTTTCGCCAGCCTGACGAATCCGAAGATTCTGTGATTCGGCAGCAACCCTACGATTACACTGTAGTAGTGGCTGCCTCGTACAATGTCGTCGTCGTTAGGAGGTCCCCTCGCCATGAAACGGCCCAATGTCGCTCGGTTACAGATTCCGGTGGATGCGTCCTGCGACAAAGATTCGACTTTTGAGTCGACTCAAAAGCAGATTGCGGTGGGGGCGTCGTGCGACAAAGACCCGGTTCCGGCCACCAGCACGAACAATGGAGCACACTCGATTCCAGATCAGCCTGGCGAACAGCAGACGGCGAACGGCGTCGCATCATTCTCGATTTCGCAAGCAGCACGCGGCGAAGTCGGCGAAACGAGCGAAATCAGTGACAAGTGTCGAAACTTCGCGGCAGACTCCTCCGCCGCGAATCCCGCTGATCCTCCACCCCCCCGCAGCGCGTCGAAGCACCGTCGAGCCGCGTCCGTATCGCGTCCCGCGTGGCTCCTCGAGGAGCAAATCTGCGCTGCGCTCTCCGCTCCGCCGCCCCCCGCCGCCGGCGCTCCTTCTCCGCGGAATGCCGCCTCTGCCGCGGCGGCCTCCCCCAGGCGGTCGTGCTGGGCGATCGCATCTCCGCGGGTCGGCGCACACGGCATGGCGGAAGGCTTCGGCGCGTGGGGAACGAGGAAAGGCGACCTGTGCGACAGCAGGAATAGCAGCAATGGCAGCAGCAGCAGCAATGGCGGCTACAGCAGATATAGCAGCCGCCGTGTCGCGGACAAAGATACAGCAGATTCGATATCGTCAGATCCGTTATCTGTTAGGGATAGCGGCGAGGGCAGCCGCTGTATCACGAGAACAAGCAGCAGTATCAATCGCGTGAGACCGAGCTTCAGCGCTGACATGCCCATCTTTAATAAGGGTGGCGGCGATTCCAAGGGCAAGAGCGACAGGGTTGGAGAAGACGAGGGACACCTGCAATGGCCGGTGCGGCCGTTGTTCGCTTCGCGCAGCGAAAGCAGCGAAAGTTACCCGTGCCTCGCCACTCCCCGGGCGAATAGGGCTCGGCGAAGGTCCTTCGCGAGTGCCCCTTCTGGTAACCAGGACTGGAGTCTGAGGCCTGCACTTGCTTCCAGATTGAGCCTATCAGAATCTTCGAAATCTTTGCCCACTGCCGGTACTGATGGTGCTGCTGCTGCTGCTGCTGACGGTGATACCGCTGCCGCTGCCACTGCTGCTGCTGCTGCTGCTGCTGCTGCTGCTGCTGCTGCCATCCCGGTTTCGGCTTTTTCCCAGTCCGCCAGCGCGCCCACAGCTTCCCTCACATCCCCTCCCACCGACGTAACTCCAAGCGCTTCTGGAATTGGGAGCGGGGCGGAGACGCCGAGACAACGCGCCGCCCGGAGCATTTTCCCACGCGCCGTATCGACTTCGTCCGTCCACGTCAGCAGCGACAGCGCAGGCAGGGGCAAGGGTGGGGGAGACAGCGGAGCGAATCGGAGGAGAGGGTGCGGACGGGTGGCAGGTCGGGCTGGCTCATCCCCGCTACAGCCGTCCCTGCTGCAAGCAGCTGTGTCGATCAGCACTGTAGATGCACCAGCAGCCGGCGAAACCTGCACCAGGCGAAAAGCAGTTTCACAAACCGGGGCAGGTTTGGGGAGAAGAGGGTCCTTGCTGGGAGCGCAAAGGCTGGGGCCTCTGCCGGAGCTGCGACAGCTGAGTGGGCTTTCAGAGAAGGTGCTTTCTGGAATCTCTTCCCACAGATCCGTGGCTTCACACAGAGAAAGGAGATGTGGGCAAGAGGAGGAGGAGGAGGAGCACCAGCATCTGGAGATTTTTGAATGGGAGATGATGGTGCCAAGGCAGCAGCAGCAGCGGCAGCTTCAGAGAGGCTTGTCTGCCCCCTGCGATGAAATCGACGGCTCTGTTTTCGAGATGCTGGATCCGGTGGATGTGATTGGCCCAGATCCCCCAATAATGGACGGACTGGATGCCCCTACCGGCGAAGCCGAGCAATGAGGAGGGGAGGGGGGGCAAGGGGACCAGCTGCCGTCCTGTGAGTGTGGTGTGAAGCAAGGGAGGTGCGGATTGCCTTCCTGTGCGAGTAAAACACAGGGCCAAGCTGAAAAGGGATGTACCTGCTAGCTAACATTACGGTAGATGGAATTTGGTGATGTCATGTGACTGATGCTCAAGATTTGGATTGGTAAGTGTTTTATAAGGGTGCATTCATGGTATCAGACTGTCAAACATGTGTAGTTATCATGTTTGTATAGACTGTATAGGGTCACCTTCTAGAGAGTACAACATTTACGTATATGTTTGTGTACTCTCTCTCTCTCATCATTAAATTCTAGGTTTGATATGGTATCACGAGTAGGTTTCGACCCCCCCCCCCCGCCCCCCCCCCCCCACCTACCGCTTCCGCTCCTCCCGTCGCGTCTCCTAGCCTTGCCTCGCCCCTCCTGAGCCCAGTCGCGACCCCTCCCCCTAGCCCCGTCGCGCCCCTTCCAGGGCCTCGTAGCGCCCCTCCAGGCCCCGTCGCGCCCCCCTTCCAGGGCTTCGTAACGCCCCTCCAGGCCCCCGTCGCGCCCCTCCAGGGCTTTGTAGCGCCCCTCCAGAGCCCCGTCGCGCCCCTTCGCGCCCCTCCTGGGCCCCGTAGCGCCCCTCCAGGGCCCCGTCGCGCCCCTTAGCGCCCCTCCTGGGCCCCGTCGCGCTCCTCACAGGCCCCGTAGCGCCCCGTAGCGCCCCTCCTGGGCCTCGTCGCGCCCCTCCTGGGTTCCGTAGCGCCCCTCCTGGGCTTCGTAACGCCCCTCCCAGGCCCCGTCGCGCCCCTCCTGGGCTCCGTAGCGCCCCTACTGGGACCCGTCGCGCCCTCCCTGGGCCCTGTAGCGCCCCTCCTGGGCCCCGTCGTGCCCCTCCCAGGCCCCGTCGCGCCCCTCCTAGGCCCGTAGTGCCCCTCCTGGGCCCGTAGCGCCCCTCCTGGGCCCCCCCCCATTGCGCCCCTCCTGAGCCCCGCCGCGCCCCTCCTGGGCCCCCATTGCGCCCCTCCTGGGCCCGTAGCGCCCCTTCTGGGCCTGTTGCGCCCCTCCTGGGCCCTGCCGCGCTCCTCCCTGGGCCCCGTATCCACCCTCCTGGGCCCCGTCGCCCCTGCTCGGCCCCGTCGCCCCTGCTCGGCCCCGTCGCCCCAGCTCGGCCCTGTCGCAGCCTCTCGGCCCCGTGGCGCCCGCCCTGCCCCTGTCGCAGCTGCCCGGCCCCTGTCGCACCTGCCCGGCCCCGCCGCGCCCGCCCGGCCCCGTCGACCCCGCCCGGCCCTGCTGTGTCCTGCCCGGCCCCGTCGCTGCCGCCCGGCCCTGTCGCTGCCGCCCGGCCTCGTAGCTGCCGCCCGGCCCTGTCGCTGCCGCGCGGCCTCGTCGCTGCCGCCCGGCCCTGTCGCTGCCGCCCGGCCCTGTCGCAGCCGCCCGGCCCCGTCGCAGCCGCCCGGCCCCGTCGCAGCCGCCCGGCCCCGTCCCAGCCGCCCGGCCTCGTCGCTGCCGCCCGGCCCCGTCGCAGCCGCCCTGCCCCTCGTCGCGCCTGCCCGGCCCCGTCGCGCCTGCCCGGCCTCGACGTGTCTGCCCGGCCCCGTCGCGCCTGCCCCGGCCCTCCATACTTCCTGGTACTGTCCCCCGTTCCCCGCACCACTTTGCACCCTCCTGCACTTTCCTGCCCCGCCTTGCACCGCATTGCACCTCACTGAACCGCACTGACCGCACTGCACCGCACTGGACCTCACTGCACCGCACTGCATCGCACTGCACCGCACTGGACCGCACTGCACCGCCCTGCACCGCACTGGACCGCACTGCACCGCCCTGCACCGCACTGCACAGCACTACACCGCACTCCACTGTCCTCCACTGCCCCTCATGGCTGCTGAACTTCGTTTTGATGCTGAGGGTCAGCCTCTGGAGTTCGAGGCGTGGTTGGCTGACCTTCGCCGCCACCTCACTGGTCAGCGGCAGGACGGCCACCCGCTTTCTGCACACCTAGACGGTATGCTCCCCTGCCCTGACCCCCCTGCTGTGCTGCCCGCTGATCCCACGCCCGCTGAGCGCGAGTCCACTGCCGCCGCTGCCCTTGCCCGCTCTGTCTGGCTTTCCCGCGATGCCCTTGCTCAGCTCGCCATTAGCAATGCCCTCCCCCCCCTTGAGCGCCCTCGCTTTAGAACCATTTCTACCGCCCAGGCCTACCTCGATGCTGTCATCAAGCGCTATTCCACCCCTCCTGCTGCCTCAGTGGGTCGCCTGATCCTCCCCCTGCTCTTTCCTGACCTGGCGTCCTTCCCCACTGTCTCTGACCTCGCTGCCCACCTGCGCTCGATAGATGAGGCCTGGCGCGCTGCCTGCACTGATGCACAGCTTAGAGTCCACCAGCCTCCCATGACCTCTACCCTCTACCTCCTTGCCACCCGCCTCCCTGACCGCCTTGCCGCCGCCCGCGACCAGTTCCTTAGCATCCACCCTGCTGCTCTCACCCTCACCGACTTTGTTGACACCCTGACTGCCATAGAGACTCGTCACCGCTCCATAGCCCAGGCGAGCGGTACAGTACCGGTCCCTATCTTTCAGGGTTGTGCCCCCGCTCAGTGTACCTTCTCCGACGGCTCTGTCGCTGTGGCTGAGACTGCTGCTGCAGTGCAGTCCCGCTCGGGGAAGGGCCGCCGCCCCAAGGTTGGGAGCGGCGGAGGTGGCGGGGGTGCGGGTGGGGGTAGTGGTGGAGGCGGGTCGTCCGGTGCCGGTGCGGACGTGGGGACCCTGCCCGGTCCAGCTGCCCCGCTACCTCCGCCGTTGCAGCAGCCGCAGCAGCAGCAGCCTCCGCAGCAGCCGCAGCAGCCGCCGCAGACGAGGCCGGCGAGTGCTCTCCCGCCTGGGTGGCCTGGAGCTGGTGGTGGTCGTGCGCGTGGTGGTGCACCGGGTGGTGGTTCTGGAGGCGGGCCCTGTCAGTACCAGATCCAGACCGGTCCTCGCCGCGGCTTCGTTTGCGGTAAGATCGGTCATTCCACTCCTCGCTGTTTTCGTCGTCTGGACGACCTGTTCCGCCAGCGCTTTGGCCCGGCGCCCGACCTCCCGGACTGGCACAGCTTGCTTAGGCGTAGCATTCGGATTTTTGACTTGGACATGGATGCCATTGTAGCAGCCTTGCATGTGATGTATGCCGATGACTCTAGTGTGCTTCCCTCTTATTACCCCGTGTTGCCTAGTGTAGCTGTGCCTAGCGTAGACTCCCCTGCTGCGTCAGGCGTAGGATCTCCTGCTTTGCTTAGCCTCGGTGCTTCCACCGCTTCACTGTCGCCCCGCGCGACTGCTGCGCTTTCCTTCACCTTGGACTCTGGCGCCTCCCGGTGTTTCTTCCGCGACTCCACGACGCTGACGCCGCTGCCTGTTCCCGCTGCAGTTACTCTTGCTGACCACTCCGGTGGTCCCGTCGTTGCCCGCAGTTCCACCTCCCTTCCCTGTCCGGCGGTTCCTTCAGGTTCGCTCACCGGTCTGCATATCCCCTCGTTCTCCAGGAACCTAGTTGGTGTCGGCTGCCTCCAGGACCTTGGCGTCACCACTACGTTCCCTGGTCACGAGCGGTATGCTGTCTGTACCGAGGCCGCCACTGGTGCCCCCCTTACCACTTTCCCCCGGGACCCGGTGTCCGGCCTGTTCACACTTGACACCGCGACGTCCCCGGCTGAGTCTTCCCCCCAGGTAGCTGCGTCCACCCAGGTTGCTGCTGCGTGCTCCTGTCGGTCCCTCACTCACCCGACTCTCCTTTGGCACCACCGCCTTGGTCACCCTGCACTCCCGCGTCTGCGTCACATGTCCCAGCACGGTCTCGTCCTTGGTCTCCCCGGTTCGTTCCCTGAGTTTCCCTCATCCCCCGCCCCACCGTGCACGCCTTGTGTCGAGGGCCGGCTCCGCCGTGCCCCTCACTCCTCCTCTTTTCCCCCTACCACCGCACCCCTGCAGACTCTGCACATGGACGTCTGGGGCCCAGCCCCGGTCCATGGGCCGCGTCGCGAGCGCTTCTTCCTAGTGCTTGTCGACGACTCCACACGTTACACCACCGTCTTTCCCCTGGAGCGGAAGGCCGACGTGCCTGACGTTCTCATCCCCTGGCTTGTCTCTGCTCGTCTCCACCGCGGTCTCCCTGCCTTGCGCCTCCACTCCGACCGGGGTGGCGAGTTCGCCTCAGGTGTCCTTGGTCGCTTCTGTCGTGCGGAGGGCATCACCCAGACGTTTACCCTGCCGGACTCCCCGCAGCAGAATGGGGTCGCTGAGCGACGCATCAGTTTGGTCATGGAGGTGGCTCGCACCTCCATGATCCACGCCGGTGCACCCCATTTTCTGTGGCCGTTCGCCGTGCGCTACGCCGCTCACCAGCTTAACCTGTGGCCGCACCCCCAGCGGCCGCAGGTTTCGCCGACCCTTCTGTGGACCGGGTCCCCTGGTGACGCGTCTGCGTTCCACGTCTGGGGCTGCCTTGCTCACGTTCGTGCCTCTGGCACGGACAAGCTCACTGCCCGCACCCTCCCCTACGTCTTCCTTGGTTTCCCCCTTGACGCGTCCGACTGGCACTTCTACCACCCGCCGTCTCACCGTTTCTTTCACTCTCGCGACGTCACCTTTGACGAGTCCGTCTCCTTCTACCGCCGCTTTCCCCACCGTGGTCCCCCGGTTACTCCCCCCCTGTTCCTGGTTCCTCCCTCCCTGGTGGCCCCTGCCCCTCCCCCCCCCCGCCCCCCCGTCCGGCCCCCTCTGGTGTGTCTCACGTCACCCCCCTCCCGTCGGTCGTTCCGGTCGACGAGTCTTCTGACTCTGGTAGTCCTTTGGCGCAGTCCTCGCCGTCTGTCCCTCCCCCGGTGTCTCCTCCTCCACCGCCTCCGCAGCCGCCGTCGCCGCAGCTGCTGCAGCCGTCGTCTCCGCCGCCGCCGCCGTCGAGGCCGTCGCTGCAGCCGCCGCCGCCGCCGCCGCCGTCGTCGCTGCCGCTGTTTGTGGACTCTGGGGGTGCTGGAGTTGAGGTGGGTACTCGTCCCGGGGCTCCTGTCGTGGCTTGTCCCCGCGGGCCTGGGGGTGGTACCGGTGCTGGCGGTGTCTCGGGCTCTGGGGGTGTCCCTTCTGGGGGTGCCGGTGTGGAGGGTTCGGGAGGTAGCCGTCGCGCAGCTTGTGGCCCTGGCGTTGGTGTTGTGTCGACGCAGCAGTAGTCCCCGCCGGTGTCCGCCCTCCGTTTG